GCCACACTGAATAATGAAGCGGCCTATATGTTCAATCGTAGAATAACCACCATCTCCAGAAAACAGTGTGAATTTTGGCATTTTGAACCCCCTTGGGAAAGGATTCTCTTAATCTATATAATCTGGATATGATTTTTGTAAGCTGGTCTGACTAAATGCCTCAAAACTAGACCATAGACCTCCTGCACCAGATCAATGATCTGATCATGATTGATGTACTGACCTGACAAACCTTGAAGATTTTGTTGCATGGGTGGCACATAAGGCTGGAAATGCTCCCGCAGTTGAGGTGCATTAAGCTGCTGATGTCTTCCATTTGGTCGGTGTTGAGGTGGCAGATATCTGGGCTATTGGAGATTGCCCAGTTCTGCTGCACGTGGTGCAGCCTCAACAGGTTCTGGCTGCACTGGTCCGCCTGCTGCTTGCTAATTCTGGGGAGGTGGCTGTGGCAGATCAACTTGCCCCTCAAGTGTTGGAGCTAGAATATTTTGGTTTTGCCTTTGAGGATCTGCTGCTTGTGGTTAAGGTTCAATTCTAGCACATCAAAATGCTTCCTGCATCCATTCTGTTTTAGATTGAAAAGCTCTCCAATTTTCTGCATTTTGCTCGTGCCAGATTCTTACACTTTCTTCATTAGAGTGTCACATGTCTGCTACACTTTGGGCTAAATTTTGAGCCAAATTATGAAAAGACTCATCCAATTGTCTAGCAATCTCTTGGCTTCTTTGTTGAGCTCTTTCCTCAAATTCCAACTGTGTACGCCTCATCATGCTAATATGTTTTGACACAGCCTTTATAAGAGAGTCACCAGATTGAGTAGCATCATCTTCATATTCACTATCCTTGTTGAAGGTTGGATTGACAAAGGAGTGCTCCCCAAGTATTGCTGACAATGGTGGCAGAATGATTGGCTCATGCTTTCCTTCTGAATGTGCTGAGCTACCTTCACCGAGCCCAATCTATAAAGTCTGGGCAACCTTCCCCATGTTTCTTTTTGGTGGCATAGCTGTGCCTCTTCTTGGATAAAGGACCAATGGATCTAAAAACTGTAAGTGAGACACGGTGAGGTCCCATCGGTCGTGCCACAAAAGGATTGTTTCCTCAAAAATCCTCAAGTGGCTTCGCATGTGTGAAATTTGGATGTAGGCGTGCCACTTGCTTTTCTAAAAAGCAAGAAAAAAAGGATTCTCCCAACGACCCTCTCCTTCCGCAGGGTCGACCTCTGTTAAGATGGCTGGAAGAACATTAGTTTAAAATTGAGTTTTGCGCCCTTTAGATGATTTGCAAGATGGAGAGATGCCTTCTAGCGGAACAGGTTGCTAATTTGCCTTGGACAATCTCAAGGACTTTACCAATACCGTGAATTGAAGTTAATAGATCCAAAATGAACTGAATGATATGCAAATTAAAATAAACTTGATGTTTATTGCACGAAAGGAAATTAAAGAAGCAATTACATAAACTAATTTGGGTACTTGATTGCTGAAAACAACTTAAATCTACTGGAATCTGTGCTAACATTGAAGTATGAAAGCTGAGATGAGCAATTACTACGAAACTAAAGAATTGAAAATTTGATGAGTTTCTGTGTAGGGTTGGCTTTGTCGAGAAAAAATTCAGAAAGCTTCTATTTATATGTTTCCTGCAAATTGTCTCTTGGCTGATAAGATCACGGATAACTTTCAAATTGTCTTTTGGCTGATAAGATCACAAATAACTTTCTCCTAAATTCTCGGGATTTCTGTTTCTTTTAAAATTCAAGCTGTAACAAACTGGATAACTTTTATCCTCCCAACCAACTTTGCAGATATGCATCCTTCGGAAGATTTAATCTCACCTTATCCTCTTGACAGGTGGCATTATTAAAAAAATGCAATTTATGGTGTAAACAATATCGTTTTTATTAATTAAAACCCTTCTACCTTTTTTTTTTTTTAAATTTTGGTTTATTAGTGTTCTTCTCTTCAATATATATATGTTCAATTTATCCTTCTGTTGATGTCATATATATATAATATTATACCATCAATTAATATTAGTTTATTGTTAAAAACTAACAAATTTTAGTTTAAGATAATTTTTTATTAAAATTTGTCTTTTTATTGACTTTTTATTTAATACAAAGATACATAGTTTTTTTTTTTTTTTTCAAAATTTCATTTGCCCTCCTCAAAAAAATTTCTAGCTATGCCACTGGCTAGGATAAAAGCTCCTTGACATCCTGAGGTGGGTTGATTTTATCTTTTATTTCATTAATCAAGCCATTGAATACATTAGACTTATAAAGGATATCAAGGTACGAGAGAAAGACCAATGTTTGGAGAATGAGATTCAAATGGTCTAAGGGATGCTCCATCGGAACATCATCAAGATAAAATGATACTAATTGATACATTGTGATTCAACATATTACAAAATATATTTATTAAAAATTATTATTTTATAATTTAAAATTAAAAATAAATAAATTTAAAAATATAATTATACATACATGATGTAAAAATTAATAATATTTTTATTATATTTTTAATAATTAAATCAAAATAATATCAAAAAAATATTAAATCGAGTTATATTAATCATTTTTCTTAAAGTTATTACTAACCTTTTGTTATGACTCAAATTTTTGTCAAAAGAAATTATATTTTAATCACATAATAAAAAAAATTAAATTTGCTTTAAAATTAGTGTCATGTAATTTGTTTTTTTAAAAAAAAACAACCGTTTTATTCAAAATCAAACTGTTGAGTTGAGGTGGCAAGCAAGCACTTGCCAGCACCTGACATGCACATGTCAGGTGGTCCAACTTTGTGGTTGGATTTACTTGAAAAATGGTCAAAATGGCCAAAACGATGTTGTTTTGAGCATTTTGTGGGGCAAATTTTTTTGACCAAGCTCGACTCTGTTCATACTTCATAGAGCTGACCCTAGTCACTTTTTATGATATGTTTTGCTACAACGTGGCTTGTATTTCAGTGGCCTAGTTTAACCCGTTTAAATGTTTGGGTCTTGTTTTCGGAGCGGGTCATCTAACCTATTTAGTTCGAGGCATTACAATGGATTAAAAACAAAAAGATAAATAAATAAATAAATAAATAAATAAATAAAACGGTTGTGATGATTAGTTTAATGTATGGTTAATGGGATTAATTTATTTTAGGCCTCGTTTGGTATAGCGGTTTTGGGGTAACGGTTAGCGGTTTTACCTAAACCGCTAAATATAGGTGTTTGGTAAATTTATATATTTCGAAACCGCTATAACTAAAGTGTTTGGTAAAATTTTTATTTAGCGGTTTGAAACTAACGGATAGTGGTTAGGGTACAAATCGCTAGTGGATTGAAAAAGTTAGTTTATGTAGCTTTTTGTACCAAACCGCTAGTGGATTAGAATTTTTTAATTTTATTGACAAATTTATCCATTTTAATTTT